AAGTCGTTGCGCCGACTTCTGCGACTGTTCCGGAGAGCCGGTGAGCGTTGTTGGGATTACTGCCGTCCAGTTTAAAAAAGGCACTATCTACATATTTTATGAAAAATGAGTTTTTTATACCGTTGGATTCGTAATGAAAAGACGAATCTAATAGTCGTATTCGTAATTGAAAATTTTAATTAGATTAGAAGATAATTAGCGGTCAATTAAACTATCTACAGAGATTTTCGAGAAATATTTTTTAAAGTGTCACTATCTGCAGAAGGAGACGACCTATCTACAAAATTTTCAGGATTTTCAACCCACTTGACCCCTGAAATCCTGATTCACGAGCACTATGTACATAGCTTAGTCAGTAAACTGGTCTCAAAAGTCACAAAAGTAGAGAACTATGTACATAGTGACGTTTTTCGTACATATTTTTCTCGAACTTTGGTTAACTTTCCTCGAGAGAGAGCACTATCTACAAGTTTAATTATGCAAATAAAATAAAAATAATACAATAATTTGCCAATAAAGCTTTTATTTTGTATTAACACATATATTTTATGCAAATTAAATAAAACAATTTTAATTATTCTTTTTTTAAAGTTAACATTTAATTTAATAAAAATTTCATGCAGAACATAATAATCAAATAAAATAAAGTTATAATGGTAAATAAAATTTATGTATTGAGGGGCTGATAGTAAAAATGGTTTAAAAAAATAACAACGGGAGCAAAAGTAGAATAACTGAATAAGTGACTCAGAAGCAAAAACAGATAAAAATGATTGTGTAATTTCTTGATAAATTAATTATAATAATTACAAAATATTAATTCAAATAAAATAAGTTTTTTTATTATTGACAATATTTTTTAAGCATTAATATAATTAATTTATCAAGAAATTACATAATCATTTTCACCCGTTTTTGCTCTCAAGTCACTTATTCTACTTTTGCTTCCATTATTATTATTATAAACCATTTTTACTATCAGCCCCTCTATTGTTCGTCATTTTTCGTTCGGTATTTTCAAAATTAAAAAATATAATATAATTATAAATAAAATAAAATATAAAATAATGATAAAAATATAACAGAAATAAAGGATTGTGTTAGAAAATAATGTAGATAGTGACGCTTTAAACAGAAAAGTGGACCGACAAAGCAATTTTAAACGTACTATCTACCACATAGTGCACTTTTCATGTATTCTCCATAATTTTTGGATAAAAAATGTGCACTATCTACAGTTTTATTAATAAATAATTAAAATTAATAAATTTTTTTTTGCACCGATGAAAAGAGCGTGTCCGAATTAGTCAAGAACATAAGTTTGTTTACAACATTTTTAATTTTATTAAGAGATCCAGATGCAAACGCGTTTCCTTCAATATCTCCGATTGAGCTAAAATGTAGATAGTGTCTTTTTAAAAAGGACGGCAGATTATGTATCAAAGAATCACCCTCGTCCTAGAGCCGTAATTCAACCTACTGTCAATTCTGGCGTCCCGCGCTAGTATTGCTGCTACCGTTTAGTCCTGAGAAAAACCCACCGTCGCCGCCATCTCACCTCGGGAGTTTTGATGCTTTGAGCCCTGCTAAGGTAAGGAGTTGAATACTGTCGATGAGAGATCGTTCAGCCCAAACGACGACAGAACTCCTTCTTCCCCACCATCACCTCCTAAGCCATCAGCTCTAAAGAGAGACGATCGTCATCGACGACGACATCGACGGAGTATTGGACGATGTACAGCGACAGCCACAAATATTGTTTGTTTCTTCACCAGAGTCCACTCCGGAAGCTGTAAGATTACGACCGAATTTCCTCCAACTCTCTACCTCAAAAAGGGAACGAATAAAGTTGAACATCGCCACTCTGTTCTGAAGGTTATTCATCCGTTAGGAATGTTGTGAAATAAATAATCTAATGAATAAATTAATTACGTTACCAGGTAATAACGTTTCTTTTAATTGAATTTTCCCACGTCGACACGAGGCTGGTTGCCTCCTCGTGTACTCCCTGCGCAATTTAATTTTGAATAATTAAAAAACCAATACAGTCACTTTAATTCTTATATTCCCGTGTAGGAATTTAACCATGGCCCTAATCGGGGCCAGATCTTTTGATCATTCTGTAGGCCATAACATGGCATGAAACACCTTCCCAGATTGGGCCTAAGTCTGGCCAGACTTGGGCTTGATCTGAGAAGGTGTTTCATGCCATGTTATGGCCTAAATATGGCAATTTCTACACGGGTTAATTCAATTGTAATTCTTATTAACCATAATTCTGTTGATTTCACAAGACTGATCTAATCATCCATGATTTAATGAGATTCTTTCAGCCAGTCATTCTCCTATACAGTGACTGGTATCATAATTAACAAATACATAACTTTGATTCCTTTCCACTAAAAAAGGTTTTTCTTCCACATTTTCTTTTTAATTTAAGTTCATTACAAGAATATATGTCCTTTTTGTTTAAAAAGTAACTTATTTAAATTGTTATAAACAATATTAATTATCAAATAGATAACTTTGATTTTTCTTCCCTAAAGAAGGTTTTTCTTTCACATTTTCTTTTTAATGTCAACTACCTGCTATTGTCGGTTAGAGGATAGAGTTAGTCTCTGTTGTGCCGCTGACCGAAGGGCGTCGTTAGTAAACACTATTTGGGATAGAATTCATTCAAAGCGATATACCAGAACACCACAACTGGCGACGAGGATATTCGTAAGTAAGTTATATAATGTTAGAAAATAAAACAAATTACTACAAAAAAAAGATAAATAAATAAAATAAAAATATAGTTAATTAACGAATAGTTCATTGGAACTATAATAAGCCAAAAGACAACAAAGTGGTATATTAACAAACAGTTAATTGGAACCAAAATACAAAAAAAGTGGTAAATAAACAAACAGTTAATTGGAACCAAAATAGAAAAAAAAAGTGGTAAATTAACAAACAGATAATTGGAGCCTAACAATAATAGAACAACTTTTTGCAGATCGCTTGAGGGATGTCTCAAATCAGCCCCTTAGAAGCTTTTGATTTCGAAGGCGACTTCACTTCAGTTGGATTGCGATGGGAGAAATGGAAAAAAGCATTTGAAATTTATTTACCAGCAGCAAAAATAAAAAGCCCGTACAGAAGCGAACAGCTCTTTTACACACAGGAGGATTATCTCTATAAGAAATATATTACAATATCCCTGGTGCTCATGAAACGGATATTAATGTTGATGTTTACGAGATCGCAATAAACGCGGAAGATAACCTCATAGACCAAATAACAGAAAAGTGTGAGTCAGCAGAGCTTAGAAGGAAAATACTAACACTTGGTGATTCAATAACCCTCGATAAAATCATATTTGAGGCAAATGCGTTGGAAACAGTACAGAGACAGTTAGAAAATTTTAAATTGTCAAAAAATTTTGATACAGTTCACAATATAGGTAGCAAAGAGCAACAAAAAGTTTGCTCTCGTTGTGGTAGTGAAAAACACTCGGCAGATTACAATAACTGCCCAGCACGAGAAAAGAAATCTGGAAATCTGGGAACATTTTCGTTCACAATGTCGAACGAAATAGAAAAAAATTGGACAAGTGCGAGTTGTACTCGCACTGCAATGGCGGGTTCCGCACACAAATGTTAAAACAATACTTGTAACATTGATCGGTAATTGGTAGAATTAAAATAAACAATTATAAAAATATATTAAAATCATTTGATAAAAAAAAATAACTAAAAAAAGTTAAAGTATTGTATATCTAATATTGTAAACAATAATAAGCAGAGGAACTATAATAAATTTTGAAAATTTTGTTCCTCTGCTTATTATTGTTTACAATATTAGATATATACAATACTTTAATTTTTTTTTAGTTATTTTTTTTTATCAAATGATTTTAATATATTTTTATAATTGTTTATTTTAATTCTACCAATTACCGATCAATGTTACAAGTATTGTTTTAATATTTGTGTGCGGAACCCGCCATTGCAGTGCGAGTACAACTCGCACTTGTCCAATTTTTTTTTATTTTTAGTTAAGAAATTAAAGTCAGAAAACAACCTCTCATTTATTCTCTTAAAATTTCACTCTCTTCCTTAAAATATTTAATGCCACGTGTTTAAACTAAAAAAAATTAAAAAAAATTTTTTTTTTATTTTTCTTCAAAAAGTTTCTTAAATAAATTTTTTGTCGTCAGACTGTAATAATACACTAGGATACCAATTTTCAGCTCATTAGGTCAAATAATGTAAAAGTTAGGGAAAAAATTTTTTTTTTTTTAATTTTTTAGTTTTTCCTTGACAACGCTATGGCCATCATTACATATCAAGTTCTCTATATTTTTCCTGTAATATTCGAGTAAAAATACACCAGCATGCAAAATTTCAGCTCTCCATGTCGAATAGTTTAGAAGTTAAGGGGGGGGAATGGTCACTTTTTATGCATTTTTGGCCAAAAATCTTGTTATTTCCTTGACAACGCTATGACCATCATCTCCAAACACATTCTCTATATTTTTCCTGTAATCTACGTGTGAAAATACATATCTGTACAAAATTTGAGCTCTTTAGGTCAAATAGTTTAGCCGCTAGGGGGGGGGACACGATTTGGCTACGGACAACAGAGTCTCACCAATAGGGTTCCGCCGATACACCGTAGGTGTACGGAACCCTAAAAAGGAAGTTAACGATAGATTCCAAAAAAGAAAACACTAAAAAGAAGAGAACAGAAACAGATGACACGAGTAAGACAGAAGTAGACTACATATTCTATTTAGATGACGATGAAGAAATGGTCTGTTAAGTAGGAGGGATTAATATCAAAATGCTTATAGACTCAGGTAGTAAGAACAATATTATAAACGACTCTACTTGGGAAGAATTGAAAAAAGCTAAAGTCAAAATTTACAATCAAGAAAAAATCCTGTAAAAACTTTTATGAGTTATGCAAGTCGGAACCCTCTAAAAGTTTTAGGATCTTTCGACACTGAAATTAAAATGGGTACTGAATCAAAAATAGCAAAATTCTACGTAATACAAGATGAAACAAAAAATTTATTAAGCAAGGAAACCGCTGTATCATTGGGAGTTTTAAAAATAGGACTAAGCATAAACACAATTTGTGACGGTATATTCCCTAAATTCAAAGATGTTAAAATAAATATTCCCATTGATGAATCAGTTACACCAGTCTGTCAGCCATATCGCAGAGTACCAATACCTTTGGAAACAAAAATCAAAGGAAAATTAAACGAATTAATTAAAGCGAATATCATTGAACCAGTAAAACGACCTGCCAAATGAATTTCACCTATGGTACCTATTCTAAAAAATGATGGGACTGTCAGAATTTGTATTGACATGAGACGTCCAAAAAAGGCTATCATTAAAGAGCACCACCCCCTACCGACTACGGAACAAATAATTCCTAGATTAAGAAAAACACAGTTTTTTTCGAGGCTAGATATTAAGCTCGCATTTCATTAAGTTGAACTCAGTGAAGAATGTCGATATATAACAACATTTATTACTAGTAAAGGTCTTTTCCAATATAAACGTCTTTTCTTCTTCTTCTTGTTTAACAAATAGCCAGTATAAAATATAAACGTCTCATGTTTGGAATCTGCTGTGCTCCTGAACAGTTTCAGAAAATTTTAGAAGGAATTTAATTTTGTTAAAATGTGAAGGCGTAGTCAACTTCATTGATGACATTATAGTATTCAGATGCAGCGAAATCGAGCACAATACCAGATTAAACAAAGTCCTAGAAGTTCTAAAGGAAAATAATGTTCTTTTAAATAGTGAAAAGTGCATGTTCAAAGTGAAAGTGATAGAATTCCTAGGTTATGAGTTGTCATGTAATGCAATGGCATCAAACCACTGGATAAATATAGCAAAACTATAACAACCTTTAGAAAACCTGAAACAGTGGAGGAACTTCAAAGTTTTCTAGGCCTAGTAAACTTTGTGGGCAAATGGATTCCACACTTAGCAACCTTAACGGATCCACTACGGAAGCTATTACGTCTGAAATTAGGCAAATCTGGTGATATTACACAATATTGGAAATATGAACAGACGGAGGCATTCAAAAACCTAAAACAAGCGTTAAAAAAAATCCAAGCTTTAGGATATTATGAACCTAAAGATAGGACACAAGTATTCGCAGATGCTAGTCCTGTAGGATTAGGCGCCGTTCTCGTTCAATATGATTCAAAAGGACCACGCATAATTGCCTACGGAAATAAAAGTCTGACAGAGTGTGAAAAACGTTACTGTCAAACTGAAAAAGAAGCCCTTGGTATTGTCTGGTCAGTAGAATATTTTAATATGTATTTGTACGGTATGGAGTCGTTTGAAATAATCAGTGATCACAAGCCTCTTGAGGTAATATTTGGACCACATTCTAAACCATGTGCTAGAATTGAACGGTGGGTTCTTCGACTCCAATGTTATAAAAATTATCAAATAATATACCGCCCTGGAAAAAATAACATTGCAGACTCTCTATCGCGGTTATGCACATATTCCGATCCTCGCCCGTTCGACAATGAGAATTATGTAAATCTTATGGTAGAAAAATCGTGTTCACCTGCAATCTCTCTAAAGACAATAATGGAAGCTTCTGAAATAGACGAAGAATTAAAAACAGTAAAAAAGTTTTGTACGAAGGAAATTGGGGCATAAAACCCAATAACTATAAGATTTTCGAAAATGAACTCTGCTTTCAAGACAACATTCTATTACGGGGAATTAAAATCGTCATTCCTTTTCCTTTACGAAATACGGTATTAGCAGCAGCTCACAGGACATCCCGGAATAGTGGCCATTAAGTCTAGACTACGCACAAAAGTGTGGTGGCCAAAAATCGATAGGAATCCAGAAAATTATGTTAAAGCTTGCAAAGGGTGTACTCTCGTTTCAGCACCAAACCCTCCTAACCCTATGACAAGACGCTTATTACCAACACAAGCTTGGATAGATATTTCTATGGACTTATTAGGTCCTCTTCCGAGTGGCCATTATCTACTGGTAGGGGAGAGGGCCCTAAGGTGGTCACCCATCTTTTGAACGACTGTAGATTTCAAATGGAATTATATATAAAGGTCAATAATACGGCATTTAAAACTTTATCTTATTACCTAACTTCCTATCATAAAGTTTTTTTCATTTCATTAATAAAAAAAGTTATGGCACTTTTTAAAAAAAAGTTGAAAATTCGACTTTTAAAAAAGTGGCCCCAAGGTGGTCACAATACAAAAATTCACTAAAAAAGTTTTAAAAAAATGTAAAAAACGTATTATTAAGTTGTTTATTTAATATTAATTGTTTTTCAGAATCATAGAAACATATTACATATTTTTTTGCACTTTGTCCTTTCGTCAAAAATGATACTTTTTGTGTATGTATTAGACAGGTAAAATTTTGAAAATAATTTTATTTCATTATTATTCATCATAAAACTTAAAAATTTATAAAATTCACATTCACAGTGATAAATGTTGTACGATATATAAAGATAGTTATAACGATTTTTACTAATTTAAAATGGTAAATTTCGATGATTTTAACACCCTGAGAAAAAAATTTCTCGATCATTTAAAAATAGAAATTTTACGACGTTCACGTTACAAAGAGACTCATTTACCTCAAAACTTTACTAAAATCTTTGTCTTCTCAAATAATAACAATAACAAAAAACATTTGAAGATACTAACTAATATACAAAAATTTTCTTAGGGTGACCACCTTAGGGCCCTGACCACCTTGGGGCCCTCTCCCCTAGTAATAGATTATTACAGCCGTTATAAGGAAATTAAAATCACGAAATCTATAGGTGCAAAAGAAATAATCGATATGATAAAAGAAATATTTTCAAGAACTGAAATACCAATAAGTATAACAGCTGATAATGGAAGACAATTTACCAGCGATGAGTTTAAGAAATTCTGTTCCGATTATGGCATAAACTTACATCACACAATTCCATATTGGCCACAACAAAACGGTGAAGTGGAAAGACAAAACCGTGATATATTCAAAAGACTTAAAATCAGCCAAAGCGAAAGATCAAACTGGAAAGATGACTTGCTAAAATACTTAATGATGTACACTAGCACACCTCATTCAGTTACAGGCAAAACTCCATCAGAATTATTCTACAAAAGACAATTTAGAGACAAATTGCCTTCAGTGTTGGACGTGGAAAATGCTGAAACGAATTCAGAAGTAAGGGATAAAGATTTCGAAATGAAAATGAAAGGAAAGGAATCTAAGGATAAAAAGAGAAAAGCAAAAGAGAGTGACATAAATATCGGAGAAAAAGTTTATGTGAAAAACATAATTAAACAAAACAAATTGACAACTGATTTCAACCCAGCCATACACACAGTAACTAGAAAAGAGAAAAGTAATGTTGAGGGAATGAACGACGAAACAGGGCAGTCATATCGAAGGAACATTGTGCATTTGAAGAAAGTTGAAGGACAGTGAACAGTTTCAGATAATTACGATGATAAAGATTAAGCGACAAACATCAAGTAATCATTGATAAAAAAAAAGAAAAGAAAAACTCGTTATATAAATACTTAATATGTTTGATTGAAGTGTTGATTAAAATGTTCGAAATTAATGTTCGTAATTGTGCATTTTACTACAAGTAAAAATTTAATTTGTTAGATTAATTTGTTCGTAGTTGTGTATTATATTATTTCATATTATAAGTTAAAATTCTTCGTAGTTATAAAAAGAAAGAGATGTTATATGTATATCTATAATCAAATAAATAAGTATGCCTTTATGGTTGGGCTAAAGAGAGAGACGGACAATGTCAACTACCTGCTACTGTCGGTTAGAGGATAGAGTAAGTCTCTGAAAGGAGCATAGATAGCTTATGATGAGAAGACAGTCAGAAATTTTTGTAGCCTTAAATTCGATTTTATTAATGGGCTAAGAGAGGCGCGGGGATCTTGCGGGAAGAGGAGAGTGCTGGGCAGTGGGGCTTTATAATTCGGTATGGGGGGTTTTACTAGCGGAAAAGCGTGTCTGGTTCCTTGCACAGTTTTTCTCACTTACCGTTGTGGTGTCGAAAACCTTAGCCGCTTCTCTGTGTGTCGCCGACAGCCCAGAGGTAGGAAATTTTAGTTTCAAAAGATTTAAATTAGTTTGTTAAAATGTTCTTATTTTTTTTGATTTTTATATATATCTAAAGTATTATCATTCTTTAAAAATAAAATAGAGTGGCGATTTAAGTGGGGCTACGGAGTGAGAAAGGAATGCGAAGGGAAAAAAACTGTGCAGAGAGGAAAACTAAGAATTGAATATATCGCTAATTCCCGGATCTTGGCCATTGACGAAAGGGAAATGCTTTATAAAATCATAACCAATGTGGGCGAAAATAAATAGGATTTGAGGACTAAAATTATCCTGGGACGATCCAGCCTCAGCACTCTCTACAATTCGCGCCAGATCTGCCATCCACGCACTATTCTCTCTCTAATTAAGGGCACCAACGGCTAAGTCTTATTTTAAATTTTATTGTCTTTGTTTCGTCTTTTCTTTTATTGTTCTATCTTAGATAAATTGTTAAATTTTGACTTTCTCTAAATTATGAGTTATCTTGTCTAAGAATTTACGAAGCTTACAAAATTTATTTCATATGCATATCTCTTTCTAATTCTATTTGTGTTAATTAAATATTATTGATTTGTATATGTATTAATTCTCCAATTATTGTTCTGAATGAATGTGATGTGAATGCCGATCGGTATAATTTTTCGTTTAGATATTCATATTTATTGTAATTGGACAATTGTATTGATATTTTGCAACCAAACAATATTGCATTATAAATTAAACTATATTATTGATTAATTGATTTGGATTTTTATATTGTATCTTAATATTTTACCTATTTTTGTTAATATCAATTTCATAATTTTGGTTCATTTAATTCATTTTCGAATAGATATAACTTGTCATTAAATTAAATTCTTAAATTTATCTTTTGGTATTTATATAAAGTAAAATTTTATTACATTTTGGCGCCCGAACAGGGACCCGAGTGTGTGTCCTTCAGATTTTAATTGTTTTCTTATATATTGTGTGAAAGAAAATTTTGTTTATGTCCGATAAGACTCCCATCAAAACACGTTCGCAAGCGAAAAGAAATTTGTCGGTTTCATTTAAATCAGAACGCAAAAGCAAACGTACTCGTGTTTATAATTCTAGAAGAATGGAGAGCGAAAATTCGGAGCCGGCTTTAATTGATGCTCAAAGGCAAATTGATTAATTGAATTCAGAATTATTACGTGTAAAAAAAACTTGTAAAGAACAATTAGATCTCTTTACAGCCGAACTTAATAATTTGCGTCAGTTGAATCATGCCCAGAATGAACAGCTTATTAATATTCGCAAAAATTCGTTAAGTCAATCTGTTAATAATAATCAACAAATTTTTCAAACATTAATTGACGGACTTTGTATGACGCATCTCGATGTAAAACCACCTACTTTTGACGGTTCGCAGAATCCCCAAAATTTTTTAGACAAATTAGAGAAGTTTTTTATTGTTAAACAAATTCCGGATACAAATCGATTAATCTATTTGGATGCGGCTTTTTTAGATAAGGCAAAATTATGGTTCGAGATACAATCATTGCAGACTTACACAGAATTTAAAAAAAAATTTATTGGTGAATTTTATTCTATTCCCGTGCAAGTAAAAATAAAATCAGATTGGGGGGCACGAAGGTTCGATCCAGCTAGGGATCAATTGCATACTTATTTTCTTAAGCAGGTTAAAGAGGCACAATTTTTCTCCCCACCCATTGCAAAATACGAATTACATTACACCATTATCCAACAGTTACCGTTTCGTGCAAGAGAAATTCTCTCGACCGTGGATTTCTCTGATTTTGAGAAAATATCCCAATCGTTATCGCAATTAGATAATGCTTTTGAAGATAAGCAAAATAATACAAAAAAAACATGCATGCGCATTCGGACTTGGGAGATCGACGAAATCATGATAATAAGGGGTACCAAGGTAAAGGGGGAGAGGGACGATCTATGCCTGGAAGGGGTTATCAGCAAGGTGGGACTCGAAGCGCAGGGGGGCAAAGTGTCGCTGCTACCCATGTAGAGGGGATCCACTATAGTGGGGAATATGTTCGTCATAATGATCGCGATCCTGGAGATTTCTCGAATACTGCTATAAGCCTACCAGATTTGACAATACCCCCACCTCAGTACATTGCCTCTCTTAGTCACGCGAAATATCATAGTCGGGACGATTTAAACTCGTAGGCGGCGCGGTGTATAATGTGGAAACATCGCGCCCATACGATTATGATGATTTTGCTAATTTAGATAAAAATATAATTCATAAAAAAACTGTTGGTTCTGAAATTCCATCGCAGGTATTGCCGTGCCCTAGAATTATAGTGTTCCTATTTTCGGTACCAATCAGGGCTCTGATTGATACTGGAAGCCAGATCACAGCGATCTCAGAGGAATGCTATAGTTATATGAAGTTACATGGGAAATTTAACGAACTGCCAGTCTCGAATATAACTTTATTTACCGCGATCGGAAAAAAAAATCAACCACAATAAAAAAGCAAGTTGCGTGTACGATATCTATTGATGGAAAACATTTTGATATTAATTTATTGATTGTCCCTAGATTGTCGAATATGATTATTATTGGAAGCGATTGGTTAAGTGACAATAGGGTTATTATAAATTACGAAGTAAATGAAATATCGATAGATGGGATGTGTGTTTCAAAACTTGTGGCAACTTTTGGTAAAAGACCTGCGGAAAATTCACAACGTAAAATAGATGCGGATGATGTTACGTATATTCAGACAATTGATTGCGAAGTTGATAGTGATATAAATTTATTTGACTATTCGGAAAATAATATAAAGATGAATTATTTTACCCTTGAAGTTGATAAAAAAATAGCGAACCAGGTAGATGAAAGCAATTTTCTAGATTTTCCAAAGGTTAATATAATTTCGGGAAATTTAATACAGGAGAATGAATTTGACGCTACAGTAAAAGATAATATTCGAATTTTAAATGGTATTGAAAATCTCGGAAATGAAATTGACAGTTCTATAAATAATAATAAATTTTTGCGTGATCTTGAAGATGTCATAAATGATTTGAGTAATTTAAATGAAGTCGAGAAACGAGAATTTTTTCGAGTAATGTCACAGTTTGGAAAACTATTTTCTCAAAAAAGTTGTAGTGCTGATGTCGAACCTTACCGTCTAAAAATAAAAAAACATGATACGATTGTAAGAAAGACGTATCCGGTTCCCTTTATTCACAGAGAAAAAACGGATGTTACGATGTTGGAAATGTTAAAACGTAATATTATAGAACCGTCTACTAGTAAACATTGCAATCCGATTCGAATCGTCATAAAAAATGATGGAACGGTCCGTGTATGTTTAGACGCGCGATACGTAAATAATATCATAGAATCCGATCACGAAAGTCCTCCGTTAATTTGTGAATTATTACAAAAATTTCACGGGACTAATTTGATGTCACTGACTGATCTCGAATCAGGATATTGGCAAATACCTTTGCATCCTGAAAGTAGGAAGTACACGGCATTTTTGTACAATTCGAGAATGTATCAATTTTGCCGTGTACCATTCGGGTTAAAAACCGCGGGTTCTGCCTTTATACGATCGATAGCAATGGCTTTGGGGAATGATTTTCAGGATATCCTTACAATCTACATTGACGATTTTTTGATTGCGACTCCGGGTAATTTTTCTGACCATTTGAAGGCTATTGAACGGGTCTTTACTATTTTGCAGACTAAAAATTTTACGTTAAATCTAAAAAAAACTATTTTCTGTAAAAAGAAAGTTAAATTTCTCGGACATGAATTGTCTATTGACGGGATAAGACCCCTGCAGGATAAACTCGAGGTTATAAAAAATTTTGCAAGCCCTAAAAATCGTACAGAATTGCAATCATTTTTGGGAATTTGCACCTACTATCGACAGTTTACGGTACGTCATTCTAGTTTAATTGAACCTTTTAGATTATTGTTAAAAGAAAAAAATCGTTTTGCATGGAATGAGGTTCATGAAAAAGCATTTAATATTATGAAGGGAGCGTTTATTGATTGCGTCCGTTTAAGTCATCACATTCCTGGAAAAAAATACCGATTGCAAACAGATGCCTCAGATATTGGGATAAGCGGCATTCTGTATCAATTCGATGATTTGGGGGAGAGTAGAATAGTATCACTTGTCAGTCGATGTTTAAATGTCGCCAAAGTAAATTACTCGACGACGGAGAAGGAACTCCTGGCAATTGTTTATGCGGTTACAAAACTCCGAACATATTTGGTAGGGCATGAATTCGTAATCGTGACGGATCATAAGGGCTTGACCTTCTTAAATAGTACGAATTATCTAAACTCGCGTTTGATTAGATGGAGTCTCGTTCTCCAACAATATG